GTGTTTGCATCTGGTTTGTAAAGGAAAGATGTTCAAAATGATCTATTTGTAAAAATAAACCTGATTTTTAAGCCTATGTTTCACAGGTGGATGCAGCTCCAGGGGTGCTGGTGGATGTGGTGCCCTCAGTCTGCACCTGCAGTTTGTGCTTTCCTTGCTGGTGAAGAGATTTCACCTTCCTGCTCCACGAAGGATCCATCAAGGAGTGTTTGCAGCTGGATTGTATTTATGAAGCACCCAGGTGGAATCTCTGCATTTACTTCCATAAAAACCACTAAGAAGCCCTTCTGCTGCATCACTGCAGGGATGCTGTGCTGGGAACGCTCCTGGAGGCATCAAACAGCAAATCCAGGCAGCGTTTTCAGGATCTGACACCCATAAGAGCTTGTGTGAGCCCAATTCTCATTTATTTACCTGCATTTCCCTCCTGGAGAGCTGTCCCCTGCTGGGACACATCAAACCTTTGTCAGAAAGCCCAAAACTCTGAGCAATCCACTCCACAGCGGTCTAAAGAGGGAATTTCTGTCCCATGGGGTGGGGGGAGAGGAAAAGAGAATTAAAAATGGGGTTTTTAGTGAGAACAGTAAAAAAATCTCTGTCAAAGAGCACATTTTGGTTAGTTCAGGCAGGGGGACATCCCAATGTCCTGCACAGTGACAAAGCCACCATGCTCAGATCCTGCTGGTTTCATTTCCAGGAGATGAGGACACAAATCACATCCCCAGGAGCTGGGACCTGAGCTGCAGATTCCCTCAGCCAACACTGATGCCTGAGGATTTTAGCTTTTATATTTTCCATACATTTGTAATCCTGCAGTTCCTTAGTGTGTAACTCTAAACACCATGTACAGTGTGAGCTGCTGCTTCCGCATTTTGGGCAGACACAACAATTCCTCTCCAGGCCTGGCAATCAAGGACACCTCACTGCCTCAGTGAGAGATGGAAACAAAAGTGAGTTGTGGGGAGCATAGCTGGGGTCAATGACTTCATTAGCTGAAGTAATTGGAACAGTAACCCCCAATATGCAAATGGACCAAAATTATTAAAGTGTGAAAACCAGTGACCCCTGGTCCCTTTTTGGGTGTAGCCTCTGGGGAGCTTTTTCTGCCCTAAATGTACCTGAAGGCCCTTCAATAAATAGAACTGCTTTTTATTCCCTTGATTTTGTCTGGCCTGTGTTTTTAGGTAGCCCCAAAGAAGCACCAACACCCTCTGCCATCTTCCTCCTTCTCCTCCTTGCCAAGCCTCTGGGGGGCTTTGTCTGCCCAAAAGGTATCTGAAGTCTCTTCCATAAATATAACTGCTTTTATTCCCTTAATTATGTCTGGCCTGTGTTTTTAGGTAGCCCAAAAAGGCACCAACACCCTCTGCCATCCTCCTCCTCCTCACAGAGCCCAGGGCTGCTCCAGCAGCAGCTCCAGGGAACGGAGCCTTTGCTGGCAGGGAACGCCAGCTCCAAAGGGAGGAACTTGGATGCTTCACTGCAAAAACAGCAGGGTGAGTTTGAGGTGGAATTCCTGGCCCCTGTTTTGTTCCTGAGGATTTCTGTAGGACAAAGCCCAATCCTGCTCCTGATGGTTCTCTCCTGACACCCCGTGCTGGACACAGAGCTGGGGCTCTGATTTCCCAGCTGGATGTGCTGAAAAAGCCCCCCAGTTTTGCTTTCTTTGTGATTGAGAAACCCTCATGTGACTTTGTAGATGACTTCACACATTCAGAGAGCAGGAAGGAAGCCGAGCTGCTCTCACTTCGTGTTCCGTGGGGCAGCTGCAAATCCAACCTCATTATCTCAGGAGCGCCCAGAGGGACCCGAAAATGAGCCCCCAAACCCCCCCTGAGCCCCCCAAATGCTGCTGCTTCAACATCAAGACAGCAACAGTGGCCCTGGGGATCTTCCACATGGTGAGTCCTGCATGGGGGACAGGGAGGCAGGAAAGCAGAGGTGGAACCTCTCCAGGAGGTGCCTTGTTGTGGTTCACAGGGTTCCTGACACTGGATTGTTCTCTGTTCCCAAGAGGAAAACCCAATGAGTTAAGAAGGATGAACAAAAGGTGGTGGGGGAGAGGGAGAAGTGGAATTTGCTGCACTGGGAGGGGTTTTGAACATTTTTTTCCTGGCTCTGCCAATTGGAGCTCAGGGAAACTCACTCTGCTTCCTGTTTTTCTGCTCAGTGCAGGAGCTCTTACCTGAGCATATCCAGAGCCTGCTGGGTGGGAATGGGCAGCACTGGCAGTGGGAATGTGGGAATGGGGCACTGGAGGGATTTGGGAGCTCGATAAGCAGAGGGTGATGGGCAGAGCTGCCTCCTCTGGGTCTCTTTTGGTTTCCATTGGGATCATGGCCCTGTCTAAAAGCTGTTCAGGGCAGGGATGGCAGGGCAGGACAGCCTGGAGGCCCCTCTCTCCCACGCTCCTGGTGGCACTAAGGAGTTTTAGGTGTTTTCAACCATCCTGAGGATGTGGTTTCTTGCATGGCTGGGTTATTAAAATAATCCCTGTGCTGCCCTGGTTGTGCACAGTCATGGTTTGGGAGCCCCTGGGGTGGTAACGAGCTGTCACAGGTTCCTGGGACATCTGGGGACCGACAGCCTGCAGGAATCCTGTGGGATCAGCAGCTGTGGCACAGGAAGGACATTCTGTGATCCCCCCACAGCTCTGGCTGTGCACAGTCAGGGTTTTGGGCCCTTGGGGTGATATGGGGCTCTCAGCACTTCTTGCCCAGCACTGGGGAGAGCTGCAGCCTGCAGGAATCCCATGGGAATGGCAGCTGTGGCACAGGAAGGACATTCCAAGGTCCCCCCTCTTCCCTGGAGCAGCAGGAGCTGTGCCATCCCTCTGGCCCTTAGAAAACAGGGCAATTTTTGGATAGATCTTGTTTTGCTTCAAGAGCTGTCACACAATACCCATCATTTCTCCCCCTGCCTCTTCTCTCCCTTTCTGATGGGGCAGCAGGGCAGGGGGGATGGAAAAGGAAAAGGAAAAGGGGATTTATACCTTGTCTGATTTACTCCATCAGCACTGGGGCTCTGGGTCAGGACAAATTTCTGCTGCAGGTGCCAGGGATGAATCCCAGCCATGCTGTGTGACAGCAGTGCCACCAAAGAGCTCTCAGGCTCTGTGGCAAGGTCTTCTCCTCCTGTAAATCAGCTCTGCCTCGCTGCTGATCTCTGCAGAGACAACTGGAATAAATCCTGGGCGTTCTGGAACAGACAGGGAGGGAGAAGGGGAGTGAGGAGAGGATGAGGGTGTGTGATCAGCAAAGCTCCATGGTGTGGGGAGGTGACCGGCAGGTGACTTTCAAAGACAGCACTGGGGAGTTTGTCCTGCTCCTCAGGCCTCGAGGGGTTTGACAGAGATTTGAGGTCAGGGCTGGAAACCTGCTCCAGTGCAGGAACAGAATTCCCTTCCTGCTGCTGCTTCTTGATTGGAGCCAGAGGTGCCTTGGGAAGCAGCATCTGCACCTTGTCTGGCCTCAGCTGCACCCCAGCTCCTCTTTTGGCAGCTCTGCAACTCACAGAGCACAAATTCAGCTCTGGAACCCTCCCAGGCCCTGTCCTCACCTCTGACATGACTCAGCTGAGCTCAGAGGGATTCACTGAGCTCTCACCAGGCTGGGCTGACCCAGGGGCCCCACAGAGCCTGAGCTGCTTCCCCTGGAGCAGCTCAACCAAGGAGGCAGCAGGAGAAGATGAAATGTGAAAGGAAACCAAATGAGAACTCCAAGCTCTCCTCACTTCACCCTCGGCTGCCACAAGAGCCACTCAGAAATTCAAGGGAAAAAAGGAGAAGCTATAACAGGGCAGCATTTTTGGGTGGTGCTCTTTGTGCTGGTGTCCCCAGAACACCCCAGCACCCAGAGCACCCCATCCCTGTCCTTGTCCCTGTCCCTGTCCCTGTCCCTGGCCCTGGCCCTGGCCCTGGCCCTGGCCCTGGCCCTGGCCCTGTTCCTTTCCCAAGGGGCTCCTGTTCCTCACAGCTTCAAGCTCCCCTGGCAGAAACCCCTCCTGTGACGCAGCAGAGGAGCAGCCTTGCACCAGGGCCATGTGCACGAAGATAAATCACCTAGAGATCAGTCAAGCTGCAAATATTTCAGAAAAAAGCCTGGCACAAAGTGACCTCTCAGAGCAGTTGAACCCCACTGCAGCTGCAGCAGGATTGTCCCCAGGGAATGGGGGCTCTGTGTGTCAGACTCTGCCTTCAAGACACCCTTATTTATCTCCCTTGATTTAATGACTGGATTTATCTCAATCCTACATTATTTCAGCATATCATGGAATCCCAGAATGTCCTGAGCTGGAAGGAACCCACAGGGATCATCCAGTCCAGCTTCTGTTCCTGTTTTGCCCCCCAACAAACCCATCCTGGGCATCCTGAGCTGGAATATCCACACGGATCACTGATCCAGCTCCTGAACCCAACAACCCCACCCTGGGCATCCCTGGAGCTGTGGCAGCCTCGGGGCCGTGCCCATTCCCTGGGCAGCCTGGGCAGTGCCAGCACCCTCTGGGGGAAGAGCCTTGCCCTGATCTCCAGCCTGAGCTGCCCTGGCCCAGCCCCAGCTGTTCACTTCCTGGGGGTTCAAATTTCTTCCACCAAGAAATGTGAAGATCCTTTTACAGACAGGCAGCAACACGAGTTCCAGCTCGAGGAGATCAGGGGGGAAGGGTTGGAGAGGAGCTGGGAATGGAGTACCTGGAAGTGAAATCCTCCATTTTAAACCTGAATTTGTCCTGCTGTGGCGTTGCAACGGGAAAGGGAACTGGGTATTTTTTCTGTGTGAAATGAGAAGTTTTTGTTTTCTGCTGAAACTGAGCGGTGGATCTGCAGTGGGAGCAGCTGAGCAAGGAGAGCAGGGCAGGCACCACATCCATCTTTCTCTGCCTTCCCCCAAAAGGCCCCTCTGCACAGGGTTCACCCCTTGGTTGTGCATTCCCTGCAGGAATAAAGAAGGCTCCACATCCCAGCTGCTGGAGAGGTGTCCTGGTCTGACTCTCCATGCCAAGGGAAAGGCCTGGAGGTCTCTGCCTGCTCGCAGCTCAGTGCTTCTTTCTTTCTACACAAAATGGAAAATTTTAAACCAACTCTTGCCTTAAAATTCTCCTGAATCTCTCAGGCTGCACTGGGGTTTCCTGCCATGTCCTTATCTTGTGTGACTGCCTTGGTCTGGGCTGTGTGGCTCACTTTCCCCAGAAAGGAAACCAGGGCCTCATTTTTCTCTGGCACACATATTAGAGGGTTCCTCACACCCAACTTCAGCCTCCAGATCTGCTGAAGGGGATGGGGGAATTTGGGGTTTGCTGTCCTGCTCTCACTCATTCCTCTTTCATAGCAAAACTGATATTTAGGGCCCAGCTCATCCCTTTTGCTCAGGCCTCCTTTTAAGTGGAACCTGAAAAAGCAATTTCTGCCCGTATTTCCCAAGCTGGCAATTGAGGGGTTGGACCAACAGCAGAAATAAAGGAAGCAAAATGTGTTTGGGAGCCTGAACACAAAACCTCTCAGCCACCTTGCAGTTAGGTGTGATCTCCATGTGTCTTCATTAAGAGATCTCTCTCCTCCCAAGGGGCACCAGCAGCTGCAAAGACACTTTGGATCGATGCAATTTCATCCTTGACAGGGTTCAGAGCTGCCCTGGGAGCTGAAATGCTGTTCCATTAAGCTGAACTCGTGTTAACTTTGTCGTGTCCTCCTGTAATGAGATCTGGATATTCCTCCTTTTCCTGCCAGCTCATGAGCAAATTGCAAAGTTCATTTACTTAATTGGAAAAAAGGGAAGACAGCAGAGTGACTCTTGAACCAGCTGGTATCAGACAGGCCCAGGGAAAGCCTGACACATCCTTTCTTCTCACTCAGACTCTGGACAGGATTTTAAATTGGGAGGGACAGGGTGGACAGAAGCTCCCAGTCCCCTCACAGCCCAGCGTGGCTTGGGGGTGCCACAGCTCTGGGAGCTGCAGCTGGAGGCTCAGAAAGTTGATGAATTCGGTTTGAAATTATTTCTAGGTCTTCTGCATCTGACACAGAGGCAGAGGGAGGGGCTGTGCTCAGCTCCTGTGACCTCCCAGCCTTGCTTCCCCTTTCTGGGCAAGGCAGAGCCTTCCCCCCATAGCTCCTTTGCAAGCTCAGCTCCCGAGGCTGGGCATCCAGCTGCCCAAAGTGTGTCTGGATCCCTCTGAACTCCCAGCCCCATCCTCTGCCCAGCCCAGCCCGTGCAGCAGCTGGCTCTGAGCTGCTCCAGCAGTCCCAGTTTGCAAACACAAGCTCAGACCACAGCGGTGCCACTTCCTCCTCGCCCACGGTGCTGCTCAGGCTGTGGTTGAAGCGAAAGGTTGGTGCAGCTCTGGTGGAAAAATTGTTTCATCTCTGCCCGAGCTGGTGCTGATGTGGGTGGCAGATAGGGCCTGGCTCCTGTATCACTGAGGGGCTGAGGGCTTGGGGTCACGGAGAGGGGCAGCTGGAGGGACCCCAGGGTCACTGGTGGCACTCCTTGCTCCAGCAGGGCCATGCCAGAGCTCAGGGCACAGCGGAGTTCCCTGTGCCTCTGCAATGTCCCAGGGAGGAGACTCCAGCCCCTCTCTGGGCTCTGCTCGGGGCGGGCACTGCCCAGGGCAGCTCCTGGGCTCAGGCCCTGCCTGTGGCTCTGGGGGCATCGCTGGGCCTGGAGCAGAACCAGGGCCTGCTCTGAGCCCTGCACACAGGGACAGACAGGGACAGACAGACAGGGACACACAGGGACAATCAGGGACACACAGGGACAGACAGACAGACAGGGACACACAGGGACACACAGGGACACACAGGGACAGACAGGGACACACAGGGACACACAGGGACACACAGGGACACCTGGCAACATCCATGGGCAGACAGGGATGGACAGATCAGCTGTGGCTGCCCCTGAGTCCCTGGCAGTGCCCAAGGCCAGGTTGGACAGGCCAAGAGCAGCCTGGACAATGGGAGTTGTCCCTGCCCCATGGCAGGGGTGGGATGGGATGAGCTTCCCAATCCCTTCCAACCCAAGGGCAAATCCCTTCCAATGTGGGCAATGGTTCCCAGGTTTCCCATGGAGCAATATTCCCAAATATTCCCATGGATGGGTTGGAGACTGCTCTGCTCAGCTCAGCCCCCAGTGGAGGGTGGAAACCCCTTCCTGCAGAGCTTTCCCAGGAAATGATCCAGCAGGGAATGACCCAGATAGTTCCATCCTTTCTGGGATTCCCTGATTCCATGGAGATCTCCTAAGCTGGGCTCAGACATCCCTGGCTGAGTGCAGAAGTTGAGGGCCAGGACTGAGCCCACCACTCTGGACCTCCCTCCATTTCCCAGCTCATTAAACTCCACACAGAATGAGGCTGGGGTTTGATGGTCCACTTGCAAAACTTGGGGAAAATCATTCCAGTTCAATGTGAAAAAAGAACATTTGGAGATTTTCCTCAAATAATAAAAGAAGGAAAGTGATGGTTTTGTCAGTGGAGTGGCACAGCTGCACTTACCGGGAGATCTTTCATCTCTTTTGTGTTTCTTTTTACACTTTGGAATACTGGTATTGCATTTTCCTCAACTCTGGAGCAAAAGGCAATTTCAAAACATAAAACCAGGATAAAAACCACTGAAACAAAACTCACTACCTCTGTTATTTCTTCATCTTCCTTCTGCTGGCAGCTAAATTCAAAATATTAACAAACTGATAACTTGTCTCAGAATTTCCTGGGATTTAAACCCTTTCTGTTTGGCTCACTTGGAGACTCATCCATCCAGCACCCCCTGGAAATAAATTCACTGCTGGGAATTTGGGCCAAGGCCCCTGAATTGTGTTTTTTGCTTTGTTCTCCAGGTCATGAGCATCCTGCTGCTGATCGAGTATTCCCTGGAGGTGGCCAACGGGAAGGGCTTCTGCAAAGACCTGGAGAAGGATTACTACAGAATTGGTGGGTCCTGAGAAGCAGCTGTGGGGCAGGGAGGGATCTCTCAGTCCTGCAGTTCTCCCTCTGCCTTTTCCATCAGAGTTTGGAATTCTGGGTCAAAAGCTCAGGAAGGAATTTAGACTCTGTTTGGGATTTGTTTTAGGCCAGGGCTGTGTTAGAGATCAATGTGGAGCCCAGAGAAATTTTTATTTCAGAGCATCAGCCCAAACTCTGCAGCACCCACAGAGTCCTTCAGCTCCCTCTGGAATCTCCTGTGGATTCCCCTGGCAATCCTGGTTTCCCTTCCTCTCCTTTTCCCCCAGCTGTGCATCATTCCAGCCTCACACACACTCCTGACTTCCTTCACATTCTGGACACTTCTAAGGAAACACTGAAGTGTCCCAGAACTCCTCAATGCACAGAGGGGACAAATCCCACCCCACACTGATCC